TGAATTATGCCACCCCAGGGGGCCTTGGCCCCCGGAGCTCCCTGTGCTGGAGGGGGAGGGATGGGGAGAGGGGAAGCTTTGAGAGGCTACGACCCACCTGTCAGCCAAGCTGCCAAAGACCAGGGCTCCCACCAGCACCCCGGCCATGTAGATGGACTGGGCCAGCTGCCGGAGACTCCGGAGATCACACACCAGGTCCCACTGCAAAGAGGAGGGGGACACAGAGGGGTCATTAGAGCAGCCGGGGGCTCATCCTGCCCAGAGCCCGGCCCTGAACAGCACAGAGGAGGAGGGGGGCATCAGAGGAAGTGTGGGGGAACTGTGACCTCCCAAAACCTCCCAGGCATCTGCCCTGGGGTGACTCTTGTGTCTGATGGATTGATGCCCATTGTCCCAGGTACTGGACAGACCCAAAGGCTGAATTTGGGGGGCACTGGGCCCCCCCCAGGCCAAATTTGGGGGGCACTGGGTGCTGTACAGACCATCCAGGCTGGAATTGGGGGGTGCCAGGCACTGCACAGACCCCCCAGGCTGGGATTGGGGGGGGCGCTGGGTGCTGTACAGACCCCCTAGGCTGGGACTGGGGGGGCGCTGGGCACTGTAGAGACCCCTCAGGCTGGAATTGGGGGGGCACTGGGCACTGTACAGACCCCCAGGCTGGAATTGGGGGGGGGCCAGGCACTGTACAGACCCTCAGGCTGGGATTGGGGGGGCACTGGGCACTGTACAGACCCGCAGGCTGGGATTGGGGGGTGCTGGGTGCTGTACAGACCCCTCAGGCTGGGATTGGGGGGGTGCTGGGCACTGTACAGACCCCCAGGCTGGGATTGGGGGGGTGCCAGGCACTGTACAGACCCCCAGGCTGGGATTGGGGGGGCGCTGGGTGCTGTACAGACCCCTCACACTCTGATCTAGGCCAGAGGGGTCTGTACAGCACCCAGCACTCCCCAGTCCCAGCCTGGCAGGTTTGTATAGTGCCCAGCACCCCCGAATCTCATCTTGGGGGGTCTGTACAGCACCTGACACCGCAGGGACCCCCATACTGACCAGAGCCTCTAGCTTCTACGACCCTAACACTACTCGCGCTGCTGTTTTTGGCACGGCAGCTTCCCTATTTGCACTGATTTCAGGCCGCTGATGCCCAGCCCTTGCCAAGATAATATTGATGCAAACACGACCGCTAAACATCTGCATAAGTAAATATTGAAATAAGCAACAACTAGGGAGTTTTCAAGGTCAGACAAGCTGCTCAGAGCTTGGAGTCCCGTGGGCCCCAGCAAGCATGGCTTGGCTTTGTCAGCAGATGGGGAGAGAGAGGTGGGGTGAGCACCCCGCTGAGGTCACGTGGGCGGGTGACATAACTCCCGGGGTGCATTTGACTAGATTTGAATACCTCTCGGGCACTGGGGATCTGTGATTTCAGCACTAAGGGATGGGGGGTGGTCTAAGTTGCAGGGGGGGGGACAGGACTCCTGGGTTTTGTCCCGGCTCTGGGAGGGGAGGGGGTCTGAGGGGTTGGAGCAGGTGGGTTTGGGAGCCTGGACGCCTGGCTTCTCTCCAGCCCTGGGAAGCGAGTGGGAGGAGGTGGGGTTTGGGAGCCTAGATGCCTGGGTTCGCTTGAGCTCTGGGGGGGTCTGGGGAGTTGGAGCCTGACTCGGTCCTTTCCAGCTCCACGGGAGCTGGGGGGTTAGAGAAGAGGGGCTGGGGGCCCGGGCGCCTGGGCTCTTTCGCTAGCTGTGGGAGCGGGGGGTTTGGGAGCCCAGAGGCCTGGTTTCATCCCCAGCTCTGGGAAGGGAGCGAGGCCTGGGGCGGGGGCTGAGAAACCTTGCGTTTTCCCTAAGCCAGCGATTCTCAGCCGGGGGCTCGGGAGCTCTCCTGCAGGGTGCCCCCGCACGGCTGTCCGACACGAGCCCTGTCGGGTGCGTAGAGCCCTACGGGCGCTTCCCGAGGGCACCCCGGAGATCTCCAAGTGAAATCCCGGGGGGCGTCTGGGAGTCCCTTGCGGGTTTTGCAACACAAGACTTGCTCTCCTGCGGCTCAGAAACAAGTCGCAGCCAAGACCTGGCTCCTTCCCAGTTCCAGTGAGGCAGGGCCTGGGGCCTAACCGAGTTGAGATGCCCGCTCCCCCTTCTCTGGTCCAACCTGGTCCTTAATGACTTGGGGAACAACCATGAACTGGGCCCATCTGTGTCTGAACCTGATTGTGCTCTCTGCCACTGCCACCTCCTGCAGCCTGGAGGTCCACAAGTTTGAGTTGTAGCGCCTGGGCCATACAATGGATGCACAGGCTCTGGGCCATACAGAGGGTGCCTAACTGCTGGGCAGGGGGCATAACCCCTAGGCTTTACAAGGGGTATATAATGCCCCAGGCAGTGCTGTAGGGACATAATGCCCAGACAATACAGTGAAGGCGTGAGGACTGGGCAGATGCAATGGATGCGTAACCTCCAGGCGATACAATGAGCTCTGGGCAATACAATGAGTCCATGAAGCTCTGGTTGGCGATCCGATGGACCTCCAGGCACTGCAGGCCTCCCAGCAGGTGCCCCCTCCTTACCTCGATGATGATGGTGTTGGTAAAGGTGCTCCGGTCGTACGTCCAGCCGTCCACACATGCCTCAGTTGCCCCCTCGGTACCGTTGGCCCCAGTGCCGTTGGCTCGGAGGAGATGCCACTGGGGGCTGATGAAGCGGCGGCACTTCTCCGGCTGCCGCTCGGCGTCCAGGGGCACGGAGACCCTCAGCAGGTCCCCGGGGCTGAGGTGCCGCGTCTCGTTGGGCGCCAGGCGCAGCCGGCAGTGGTGGCCCGGCACGGCAGCCGAGAAGTTCTGCAGGAGGTTGTGGCAGGCTGTCATGAGCACGGGCACCACCAGCAAGGCGATGTGGAGCAGCTGGAAGCGGCCCATGCCCCCGATGCGGTCCAGGAGCTCCGCGAAGCTCATGGTGGACGTCGGTGCGGCTCCCGTCCCCTCCCCGATCGCTACCTTCCCCGGCCCATGCTCCGGTGAACAGCCCTGCTCATAGCCCGGCTTTCCCGGCTACTGCACCATCCGCATCTTCCCCTGCCCGTCGGGCCCCGGAGCTCCGCTGCCTCTGTGGGGGAGCTTGGAAGAAGATCTGAGCACCCCGTGGTGTGAACCGGGGTCACCGGAATAGGAGTGGTTTGGGTTTGGGAGAGGAAAGGGGGGAGGGCTGGGAGCCGGGCAGGGGGCCACCCGTATGATATTTGGCTTAGCCTCGGGGAGTTGGCAGGGTCAATGTGGGCTGTGTGTGCAATTATGTAAAGGCCTAATCGTCTTAGGGCAGTTTGAGCTCTCGCCAGGCCTGGCAGGATTAGGCCAGAGGGTGGGGGGCAAGGAACATTGGGGGGAAAAAAGAATGTAACGAGGCAGGAAAAGTGGAGCAAAGGGCAGCGGGAGGAAAGCAGGAGACAGGCAGGACTTGGGCACAGAGCCCCAGCCTCATGCCAGGGCCTGCCTGGAGACCGGGGCCGTGCCAGGCACTGTACAGTTCCCTAGGCTTTGGGGGGGTGCCTGGGGGCGGGTGACGTCC